TTTGATGATGATTCAAAAACACAAAGACTTAGAGTGTTGAAGACTTGTTTTGTATTGTAATAACTCTGTTTCAATTAGATTGAGTCTGTAATATTAGAGTTTAAGATAGTCGGTACATAGTCTGCACCTTAGAAGCTTCAAAAAGCTCAAATTTATCATCCAGGCTCGGCTTTAATCGATTAAATAGGGAAATAATCGATTAAAGCAGTGAGAAAATCATTTTCACGTAACAACTCATCTGGTTTAATCGATTAAACCAATTTTTAATCGATTAACAGTGATTTAATCGATTAAACCACCTTTTAATCGATTAAAACAGAGAGGTTTGGGTTCTGTTGTTTTTTTGGCTCTGTTTTAATCGATTAACACTTCATTTAATCGATTATTTCAGTCAGATTTTTATTTTTAACTTCAAATCAAACCTATTTTCGAAAACCCTATTTCCAAGAACCCTAGTTTCGAAATCCCCAATTCCTAAACCCTAATTTCTCTACTTAAACTCTTCTATAGCACTCAGAAAAGAAGAACAACCTTTTTCATACAAAAGTTAAGTGTTGTGAGTGCCAGAGAACTGTTTGTTGCAAGAAAAAGGGGCTTTTGGAACCTGGTGTGGGCTAGAAGCGATAAGAATCACTAAGTGGAGTTCTTAGTGGATTGTGTGTTGTGTCGTCTCTAGGGAAAGTTGTTCATCATCTCTTGTGGATTTCAAGAGAGGTGTTTTCTTATCTTTATCTTTTCAATTGTAATTTGCTTGTAACAACTTGATTATAGTGACAACGTTAATCCTCTGTTTGAGTGATTAGCAACTGGACGTAGGGTCTTTTGATCCGAACCAGTATAAATTTCCTGTATAAGATTCTTTTCTCTTCTCTATTTACATTTACACAGTTTTTAATCGGTAAAATTTGGGGAAAATTTTGAAAACCTAATTTTTATTAAGAAACTAATTCACCCCCCCTCTTAGTTTTTGTCCGACCACGCGATCATTCCGCTGCGCGATTCTAACAATGTCTTCTCATCAAATTTGGAAAACTCCATCCCTAATTTCATGGGGGTTGATACTGAATTATAATCATTCATCTTGAACTTATTCATAATTTTCTTTACATATGTCTCTTAACATATTCTTGACTCCTCCTTGCCTTTCTTCACATATTCAAGTGGTTGCTCAACATACACCTCCTTGAGCACACCATATAGAAATGTCGACTTCACATCCACTTGCTTCACTCCAATAGCTCGATCATAGCTTGGCAATTTGGTCACAACAACTTGGATCTTCTCCTCAATCTCAACTCGGATCTTCTCTTCTACAATAACTTTGATCATTTTGTCCACAACAGCTCAGACATGGTTACTAATCTCTCCTTCACAAACTCTCCCTTTCATACTTGACAATCTGAGCATCACACAAACTTTTCTCTCCATGCTCGGCAATCCGAACACCATGCTCTTCATGTTGAGTAAAATTAAATATTAAGTTTTAAGAGTTTGTTGGAATAAAAAGATAATTAGAAGTTTGTTGGAATATTTTGATATTAATGATATTTTGAGTAGTTTTTATTTGATTTTGGGAATATCTTAGGACTGTGAATAAATACACGGTTGTATTCCTCATTTGAGGCATGACAGAGAATCAATAATATACAATTGTATAGTTTCGTAGAGATTCTTTGTTATCAAATTGACATCAAGAGTTAGGGTTTTGAGAAGAGAGTTAGGTTTTTTCCAAGAAGAAATAGGGTTCTTCAGAAAAGTGGGAGCTAGGGCTTGAGTGTTAAAAGAGAGATAGTCGATCTGACAAATACTGTTGTTGAACTAGAGTGTCCAAATAAAGGTTCTCCTAAAATCCCAAGCTACTGGGAAATAGTAGAGGAAGATTTTGTAAAACCTGAGAACACGAAAGACTTAAGGCTCAATGCACTCAGAGAGCTAAATAAGAATTGTGAAAAGACAGTGCAACTTTGTTCACACTGTTTCAAGTTGTAGGAGGCACTGGTTTCCAGAAGATCACAAATGCTAAATCTGTAAAAGGAGCATGGGACGAGTTGGAGAGGGAGCACAAGAAAGATGACTGAGTCATTCAAGTTCGACATCACATACTACGAAGCAAGATGGAGAACATGAAGATGTAGGGATCGGAAAAAGTTTCCAACTACATTTTGTGTGATGAAAACGTGGCGAAACAATTTATTCAAAACAAATTGTTGAGAAAGTCTTGAGATCATTAATAAATGACTTTGAGAACGTCGTGTGCGCGATAAAACAAACAAAGGACATGCCTGAGATGACAATAAAGGAGTTGATTGGTTCCCTTGAAGCCTATGAACACCGAATGAAGAAAGAGAAGAAGAAGACGACTGAACAAGTGCTACAAACCGAGGCAAAAGAGGAAAAGACGCTTTATTATCAGAATAATAGAGGAAGAGGATGTAGTGGTAGGTTCCGAAGTGGACAATATGACCAAAGAGGTCGAAATGGAGTCGGTGGCTAAGGTGACGAGAAGGAAGAGGGGGTTCAACAAAACTAGCGAGGAAGAAGACGTGGTCTGAGAGGAGGTCGATTAACGAATCACTCAGATGTTGAGTGTTTCAAGTGTGAAAGTATGGTCACTATGCAAAGGATTGCTACTTGGGAAAATGTTTTAATTATGAAAAGGAAGGACATTATGTGAAAGAATGTCAAAAGGTAGGTGAGACTTATCTTGCAAAGGACAAGAAAATTGGAGTAATATTGTTAATGACAGAGCTCAACACGAGAAATAGCAGTGATGACACTCAGAACGATATCAATCATATATCGGTATCGTATTTGGCTACGAATGCAAGTAATCACATGTGTGAGGACGAACACCTATTCAGCAAATTGAAGAAATTTGAGGGCGATCATGTTTCATATGAAGATGCTTTGAGTGTCTCGGTAAAAGGTTGAGGCTCAGTCAACTATTTGATGTGCTTGATGTTCCAAATCTCAAAAGTAATCTTTTGAGTATGGAATAACTGATGGAGAGAGAATACTCAATTTTCATGAAATACTAAATACTAGAATTAAATGACAAGTTCAGAATGTTGATTGCTTGAGTAGAGATGGGGAAAAATAGAATATACAAGTTATAGTTGATAAGCATTTGATAGTGTAGAGGACACGTTGAAAAGTTACTGATCTGATCACATGCATTTTTATGGTTTAACTGAGTTGATTCATTATGATAATCATGATATTGTCCAAGTTGGTGATGTTGTCGTTGCACCTGCAACTACAGTTATTGCCAAATCAAAAGGAGACCGAGCTTATACAGCACTAGTTGTTGTTAGCTTGGAAAGAGGTTGAGATGCTACACCACTAGTAGTAGCTAGTTCGGAAATAGAGAAGAAATAAAGAACCGTGAAGTTGAAGAAAAACATGAAGAGTGTGGTGCTCAAATGACTGAGCATGGAGGGGAAAATTTGTGTGATGCTCAGATTGTCGAGCATGGAGGGGAGAGTTTGCGAAGGAGTGGTTAGTAACCATGTCTGAGCTGTTGTGGACAAAATGGTCCACACCATTGTAAAAGAGAAGATCCGAGTTGAGATTGAGGAGAAGATCTGAGTTGTTGTGGACAAGAAGGTCCGAGCTGTAGTTGAAGAGAAGAACCGAGTTGTTATGGATGAGATTCGAGAACAGAATCACACGTTGATAATGACCAAAAAATTGTCAAGTTATGATTGAGTTGTTGGAGTGAAGCACGTGGATGTGAAGTCGACATTTCTTAATGGTGTACTCAATGAGATGTATGTTGAGCAATCACTTGGATATGTTAAGAAAGACGAGGAGTAGTTGAGAATATGTTTATCCCAAGAGACGTATACAAAGGAGATTTTGAACAAGTTCAAAATGACCGATTGCGATTTGATATCAACTCTCATGAAACTAGGGACGAACTCTTCCAAATTTGATGGAGAAAACATAGTTGATCCAAGTAGATATTCGAGTCTAGTTGGAAGTCTTCGTTACCACATATTTGATTTATTGTTGAGTGTTGGGATTGTCAGTCGGTATATGGAGAGTCTGAGTTACTCCCATTGGAAGGTATTGAAACGAATTTTGAGGTATATCCAAGGTACAATGTCACTCTTACTGTTGTACACAAGGTCGGATGATTACCGAGTCATGGGGTATTCGGACAGTGAATGGTGTGTAAAAGTGAATTATTGGGATAAAGGATGGAAGAAACTCGAGGTGTTCGAGAAGATACTAAGTCAACTAGTAGAAAGCTCGAAAGTTTGGAACTGGATATTTTGAACAAAAAGAAGTTTTTAAAATACAACAAGTTGATAATCGGGATATCGGTCAAATCGATATAACAAATTGTCGATTTGGGAGATCGATGTCAAATCGATCGCATGTTATGAAGCTCAACAAAATGTTGAAGATAACGAGTCGGATGATCGACCGATCTCAAATTTTGTTGAAAATTTTCAATTTTACGAAAGGGTTTTGTTTGAATAAAATTAAAAAATTTGTTAGAATAAAAAGATAATAAGAAAATAATTAGGAATTAATTAAAATATTTTAATATAAATAATATTTTACATAATTTTTATTTGATTTTGGCAATATCAATAGCATACAGGAAATTTTTTGTTATCAACCTAAACCGAATTATTTATTACTTTTTGTAATTAACAACAAATTAAATCTTTTGTGCTTTGACATATAAAATTCATTAACCAGCTCACTGCAACCGTCAATGTTAAAAATGTTATTTTATTTTATTCTCAATTGTGAGGGAGGAGTACAAGGCCCAAATAAAAACGCAAGGAGTAGATCAAACGGGCTAAAAGTTTGGGCCGAAAAAATAATTGTTTATAAAAGCACTTTGTGGAGTTGGATTTTGGTTTGGCTGCTTTCCTTTAAAAGTTGCAGAACACATTACTGGCCGCAGTGAAGCCTAATAACGAACTGCAACACCGTGACTGATTACAGAAACCCCTAATTGCTTTGTTTTCTTCCAATCCCCAATGGCACACGACTCGTCGTTTTTGTTTTCCGGCATTCGTTTCAACAGAAACAAGTTCGGCGCCGATATCGCTAGGTTTCAGGTACCAATCTCTCTCCCACTCTCTCTGTGCGTGTCTTTATCACTTGCACTTATTCACTATTACGCCAAACAATATGAATAACTGTTATTCTTCGTTAATTTTGAAAAGAAAAAAGGTAGAGTTACTGATTCGGTGAAGATTTTGAGCGTCGCTGAAGACGAAAGCGCGAAAACGAGGGAAGTAGTGGAAGAGAAAACGGCGTCCACGAAGAAGAGGAAGCGCAAGCGAACCTCTTCTGGTATTCGCATTTTCGTGCTTTATTTATACTATGCTATCTCTTGTATTTAACGTTTTGTATCTCACTTCTGCCTCGTTTTCGTAAACGCACAAAAGAAACTGTTGAAGGATTCAACGTGTTTAGAAGTTCCACATCTGTGGCGCAGTCTAATGGTGAAACGCAAGCTGATGAGGAGTCTATTGAGCTGAATAAGAAGAAGAAGAAGAAGAAGGAACAAAATCGACAACTCGAGGTTCTTTTTCTGTTTTGTGCGATATGCGTAATTCTCAGTGTTAATAAGTTTGTGCAATGGTTTCATATATGAATCTGTTTTTAGCGGGACGCGATATTCAGGAAGCAGCACAACATTCACGTTTCTGGTTATAATGTGCCATCTCCGCTTCAAAGCTTTGATGAGTTGAAATTAAGGTATCTTTCATGAGAGTATTATGTTGTCTCGTTTCTGAGGGAATATATTGTATTCCGTTTGCTTCTCATTCTGGTCTTTTGTTTACAAGAAAGGGACGATTCAGAATCTTAATGAATTGTTTGCAGATACAACTGTCCATCGTATTTGCTGCGCAATCTTAAGGAGCTTGGATTCAGAGAACCAACTCCTATTCAAAGACAGGCTATTCCAGTACTTCTAGATGTATGGATTTTCTATCAAGATACTGCTATAATTGTTTTCATTTGGTTTTCTGGTCTTTAGAAAATTGTTACAGAATTTTGATCATGATTCATATTTAGTTTCTATTGTCCTTGGGTTAAGTATTAACTGAATATTTTCACATCTGTATTTCTTCAATTATTTTGGATAGGGTGGTGAATGCTTTGCTTGTGCACCAACTGGTTCTGGGAAAACCCTTGCTTTTGTGTGTCCAATGCTTATGAAGCTGAAGGTATTGCTTATTTTCTCCATCCATGTTTTGCAGTTCCCAATTTTCTGTGTACTTGGTTCATATATTCTATTATCTATTATGTTTTACAGGACCCTGAAAAAGGTGGCATTCGAGCTGTTATCTTATGTCATACCCGTGAACTATCCGCTCAAATATTTCGAGAGTGCAAAAAGCTTGCCAAAAGAAAAAAATTTCGTGTCAAGTTAATGACTAAAAATCTCTTAAGAAATGCTGATTTTTCAAAGTTTCCATGTGATATTCTAATATCCACGCCACTCCGATTACAATTGGCTATCAAGAAGAAAAAGCTTAATCTCAGTAGGTGCGTGATGATGCATTCACTTTTGTTGATCTAAACTTGAAATTCTTGAAATACCGAACAAGTAATCATTACAGACTTACTGTATAAGTATCCTTTAGCGACAATTATTTTTATCTTAAATGTTTATATATACGGTTATTATTGCTGTCTCACTCTTACACTGCAGTGTTCTGATCACAAATAATTGATTAAAGTATGCTTTATTAATTATCAATCAATTACATACTTGATAGAAATGGTGTCCAGTAATGGGAAGTATGGTAATCTTGAGAGGGACATTTTTCCTTTTAGTATCCATTTGTGTTAAGGTTCCAACATAAAACCAATTGGCTATATGTGGAGTAGCCTAACATGTGTTTAAACCATACCAAATTACATGAGGTAGGCGATGTGGGACTTTCAACACACCTCCTCCAACGAAGTCTGCCAGAGGCTCTGATACCATGTAAAGGTTCCAACATAAAACCAATTGGCTATATGTGGAGTAGCCTAACATGTATTTAAACTATACCTAATGACATGAGGTAGGAGATGTGAGACTTTCAACAGATTGTGCTTGACAATTAACGTGACATGGTCCAACCGGTGCTGGTGTAGCTTCAGTTTATAGATTATAATGCTTTAAGCATTACACAATTGTGCTTGATTCTTTTATATGTGTCTTACAATTGTGTTTACAAAGTCAGTAGCAGCATCTGATGCAATTTATTAAATAACTCATTATATTGATTTTTTTCCTTTTTTATTTCTTCCGACTACTTTGGGTGTTTCAGAGTTGAGTATCTGGTCCTGGATGAATCGGATAAGCTCTTTGAGCCGGAACTATTTAAGCAGATTGATTCTGTTCTCAAGGCATGCTCCAATCCCTCAATCATACGCTCACTGTTCAGTGCTACTTTACCTGATTTTGTTGAAGATCGAGCTCGAGAACTTATGCATGATGCTGTTCGTGTAATTGTTGGCAGGAAGTAAGCTCATTGCAAAACATTTACAAACATGATTCGCCTGATCCTTAATACAGTTTTCCTTCACGTTATTTTATATATAATGTCTAATGCTTTTATGTGGATCAGGAATATGGCCTCTGAAACAATAAAGCAAAAATTGGTTTTTACTGGAAGTGAAGATGGAAAACTTACTGCAATTCGCCAAAGTTTTGCAGAGGTAAATAGATAACTAATTCATTTGGTAATAACGCTGGTCTATCCAATTTTCTTATGCTTCAAGAATCAAGAGGTTGTGTGTCTCACAGTTAAACATTAGTTGGTATAGGTATGTTTAAAAAGAAATTAGAATTTTCTCTACAATTTACTATCATTATGTATTTTCCTATTATTATTCTCTTTTGTAGTCCGATATTTGTTTTACTGATTGTGCACTGCATGTATATAATTAAACATTCTGTTTATTCTGGGTTTGGTGTTGTATAACATAATATACATAGACTTTGAATGTTGAATTCTGTATCACTTACCTTTGCTTAGCTTTGGAACTTGTAACAAGCATATAATATTGTGGTCCTTCCTCCTGTGAGATACATTGGTATTTTTTAGTTGGTTGACCTTTATATTTGCTGCACTGCAACATCTTGTAGAGTTTAAATCCTCCAGTATTGGTCTTTCTCCAAAGCAAGGAACGGGCCAAGGAGCTGTACGGTGAACTTGCATTTGACAACATTAGAGTCGATGTCATCCATTCTGATTTGTCTCAACAAGAGGTTGTTCTCTATCCCTTTGAACATCACAAGATATTTACGTGAAAATACGAAGAAAATCTGAAACATTCCCCCTCCTCTCCCAAAAATAGAACTGATATGTGTGTCTGGTTTTAAATATTTGAATATAAATTCGCTGTGATTACTATTCGTTAATATTTCTTTTATCATCAGCATAGGTACTTAAATAGAAAGCATACTTGTTAATTTAGCAGTTTTTTTGTGATTTTCTGAATTCTGATCTCATACTATGTATATAGCGAGAAAATGCTGTTGATAACTTCAGAGCTGGAAAAACATGGGTTTTGATTGCTACTGATATAGTTGCCCGAGGCATGGATTTCAAAGGTGTGAATTGTGTGATCAATTATGATTTCCCTGATTCTGCCTCCGCATATGTCCACAGAATTGGTATGTGCAATTATATTAATGTTCTTTTTAGATTTGAGAAAAGATGTTTATAGGGATTATAGTTTTTATTATTCTCTCATTGAGACTTTTGTTTCCGATATCCACAAATTGTTATTTGCTAATATATTTGTTTTCATTAGGTCGTTCTGGCAGGGCAGGGAGGGCTGGAGAAGCGATTACTTTTTACACAGAGGAAGACATTCCATTCCTACGAAATGTTGCTAATCTTATGGCAGCATCGGGCTGTGAAGTTCCATCCTGGCTCATGGAGTTGCAGAAAAAGAAGTGGAAGAAGCACCGGCCCAAAAGAGATTCAATCTCAACAAAACCAGACCTATAACAGCATAGAATAGAATGGGAACATGTGTATCACCCCTGAAATTTCCGGTTGTACTTATTTCTTAACAGGCAAGGCAGCCTAGTGTTAAGATTTTTAAGTTACCCATCCCCAACAATTTAACACCATGAAAAGGGAAAGGAGTGGAGTTGGAATGTAACCAAGAAAGAATCACGTCTTAGGCTAATGCACTTGAGAAGCTGACGTTGTTACCCAAAGTTTAAACCATGATTGTCGTGTCATATACAGTATCATAATGCCCTCAGGCCTCATTGTAGTAGCCATCCGAACTGTAAACCCATATGCTATGGGAATTTTTGTGCCTCTTTATGTTGTAAACTTGGAATTTTTTGACCCCTAGAAGAAAGGAGAGAATTATTTGTTAAATTTTAAGAATTCCTTTTGATTAACATTATTTTATTGAGGGGTAATGCGGATTATTTAGTGTTAGATTTTTTATCCTTTTGGCCCAAACAAATCGCTCGAGCTTTTTCGAGTGTATTGGCTCTCACTATACTTTGTCTACATTTATTGTCCATACGCCAGGTCATGCGGATTAATTTGTTTTACATTTTTTGTTACAAAAAGAAGCCTAAACAATTTGATTTCGTGGTCAAATAGTTTCCAACTTTCTAAAGAAACATCCCCACTTAATCCATGTGTCTTTGGCGCATGACCTGCAACTGCAGGAAAAATATAAGCAGAAATATTAATGAATCAATTTGACACAAGTTACACCCTGTTGTCAACCACTTTACTTTGTTTTACACGAGTTTTTCGCTAGTATCATTTTAAGGGTAACTAAATTGATCTGCAAATCGATTTCTCGTCAATCAGTTGGTTTTGTTTAACAAGTGGCTAGAGAAGCCCATGAAACACATTTGGAAGGTTAATCACTTTACAATGTAATCGCTAATAAAAGAAGAAATAAAATGTAAATGATGTTCAACTATGATTGAAATGTAACACAACTAAGCCCATGAAACACATTTGGAAGGTTAATCACTTTACAATGTAATCGCTAATAAAAGAAGGAATAAAATGTAAATGACGTTCATGATTGAAATGTAACACAACTAATTATCAAAACCAGCAATCGTCAATTAGGAAGTCTCAATTGCCAAAATAACCATGAATATATGAAATAGGTACTTCAGTGCAACCTAGATGTCAATAAATCACTCACAAAAAACAGCCAATTACTATAATATAAAATGGGAATAATGATAAGATTTTACATTTCAAAATTAAGAGTCACTGACTCATAGGATCAGTTAAAAATCAATATAGATTTTAGAAGGATTATAATCATTGGTGACTGCCTACTAAATGCTAGTGTCTAACCTCTGACAAGGATCATAACCATGATCGAGCATCTGCAACCATACATCTTCAAACATCGTGTAGATTTTGCCCCTTTGTGAATGAGAACTATCTTCTGAAAAGAATACGTGGATCTGATCCTTAACTTCCATCCAACTTTGACCAGGAACCTTCTATACACCCATTTCTTTTATCAAATTTCGTAGTCTGGCAACTTCTTTCCAATTGCCGGCAGAAGCATGTATATTAGAAAGTAGAACTAGAGCAGCAGAATTGCAAGGATCAAGTTTTAGTATATTTTCTGCAGCTCTCTGTGCAATGTCAACATTACCATGAGTTTTACAAGAAGCAAGTAGAGTTTTCCATGTAGTAATGTCAGGGTCAAATTCCATTTTCTTGATAAAATTCTCTGCTTCATACAAGCATCTAGCACGAGCAAGCAAATCAACCATGCAAGAAACATGCTCTCTTGTTGGTGCAATACCTAGTTCCACTTCCATGGTTTTATACAAGTGCAAACCTTCCTCCACCAATCCAATGTGACTGCATGCACTGAGAACCCCTAGATATGTGACCTCATTAGGCTGGACATCAAGATTTCTCATCATTCTGAAGAGATTCAGAGCCTCGTGTCCAAGTCCAAACTGAGCATAGCTAACAATTAAAATACTCCATGAGACAATATCTGGGTTCTGGGTTGAATCAAAAACATCTCGAGCTTGTTTAAGTGATCCACACTTTGCATACATGTCAATCAATCTATTGCTGACAGAAACATCAACCACTAGCCCACTTTTAACACGGAAGCAATGGACTTGATTCCCAACTTCAAGAAAAGCCAATTCAGCACAAGTTCCTAATATGGTAGTAATAGTAATATTGTCGGGCTTATTTTCAGAAAAAAGCATTAGTTTAAATAATCTAAAAGCCTCTCCTGCATGTTTGTGCTGCAAGCATGCTGATAGAATTGCATTCCAAGAAACTAAATTGGCTTTTTTACTCAAATCTTTGAAAACACTGAATGCATCATGTAGATTTGAACATTTAGTGTACATTGTCAGCAAGGAGTTGCATATAGTTGTTTCCTTATCTAAACCTATTTTCATAATGTAAGAATGCATTTGCATGCCTTGGTTAAGCGTCACAGAGCTCCCACAAGCACTGAGTAAGGAGAGAAAAGTAATGTCATCCGGCATCAATCCTGCATGCATCATCTGGTAGAAAAATGATACGGCTTCATTAGCATCACCACTATCAGAAAATGCTGCAATAATTGCATTCCATGACACTAAATCCGGGCTTTCAATATGATTAAATGCCCTTTTTGCCGAAGATAAGAATCCTAATTTTGCATACATGTCACAGAGGGAGCACCCAGCAAAATTGTTCCTCCCTAAACCAAATTTAGCACACACTCCATGACTTTGCCTTCCAAATTATGGTTTTAGAAGACTTCTGCATGCACTGAATACACTGCCAAATATAAATTCATTTGCTTCATAAACAGCTTGCCTGAGCATGTCTCTGAAAAGATATAACCTTCTATCTCATTACCAAGTTGAGTAAACCCTGTAATCATGGAAGGCCAGGAAATTATAAATCCTTTGTGGGAATCTTTGCAAACACACCTGAGGCATGAGCAATTTGTCCAAGCTTTGTATACATTGAGATAAGAGCGTTTAGTGCAATTAAGTGAGGATCATACCCTGATTTAATGACATGGCCATGCAGTTGTCTGCCTAAGTGTATATCCCCCATAATGCAGCAAGCCTTAAGAATGCTGCCAAATGTTAACTAGTCTGGAAAATAACCTGATCGCAGCATTTGAATATACATAATGATGGCATTATTCTCTTGGTCATTCTGCATGTATCCAGAGATCATTATAGTCCAAGAGACCACATTTCGCAGCTGCATTGCATCAAAAACTTTTCTAGCATCCTTCAAAGAACCACATTTTCCATACATATTAAGAATATGATTTTGGAGAACAAGGTCTGGCTTACACTTGGATTTTGAAATGTGATCATGGATTTTCTTGCCATAATTTAGAGATCTAGAGTTGGTGCAGGCCAAGATTAGATTCACATAGGTGTTTGGTTCTAGCTGGATGCTCGACTTCTTTAGATGGAAATTGAATGCCTCAAGTGCTTCTTTGTAATTCTGTTGCTTGCACATCAAGTTGATGTAATTGCTGGTTGATAACTATGTACTAAGACTGTAGATAATTCTTGTTGATACAATAGGTCTTGCACAATTATATATACATCGAATTTGGCTTTGAATGATCATGGACAAGAGATATTTAAAGAGCAAGTGAGTAAAGTTCTTATTATTGAGAACCTTATTGGGTGATATGGTGTCAGGATAATGAAGTGGTCACAAGTGAGTGTTTCTGATTAATGAAATAAAAAATCCATAATAGGATGAACCCATTGGGAATGCTTATGTAAAGCCGCGCGTATTGAATGTAAATCAAGAAAGTGCATTTATGGAGTAGTGCCATGGACGGTAGACTCCATCTTGATCTACCCATCCCTGTCTACACGAATTAAGGCAAAAGCCAGCAGCCACTAGAGTTTGATGTTCTCTTGTAAGAAATTTCATTGCTCATAACAATGATATAAAAGTGTACTAAAAGAAGTCCACAAATCCAGGAATATCAGACCCACGCCAGCAGTCAAAGATGTTACTACGTTGTTTGATTAGACAGACAAACAGACATGGAATTTCAGTCAACTCATCACCAAACCAAGTGGAGAGATTCTATCTGTTGGAACCAAACATAAGCATAAGAACCAGAAACCCGTTAAAGTGTGCAACTAACAAAACTCACGTATTTTACTTTGAGGTCCTTTTTCGAACAGTTGGTATGCAAAATAATTTCATTCTAAAATTTGAAATGAATTTGTGTGGAAAAGTGTGTATGCACAACAATGACAGACATGAAAATAGTGTAATAAATTAAAATAGAGAAAATTCGATCAATAACTGAAAATAACACACCTCAAAAGAAAACTTCTACTCTGTAACAGTAAAGTAATAAATAACAAGGGCACTCAAATGTTAGAACTTACAAATTACAAATAGAAAAATACTTTTGTTCCTTTCCTGGCTTACACTGTCTAACCTAAGCACCAAAATAACCTCCATAACGGTTTTATTTCCTCAATTTTAATATTTGCTTTGAAATTAATAAACATAAAAATATAATTAAATTATGTCTATATATAAAAGATAAACATTTTTAAAAAGTAGTCTGATAAAAAAAATGGTATATCTTAGGTACAAAACAAATTTGAGCTACACATTAATTCACTTTAATATAAAATATCTGATTCTCAATTATTATTTTCTTCTCATGATTCTCAAGATGATTGCATACTAAATTTAAAACTTTTTATTAACTTTATAAATTAAAAACCAGCAAGTATTATTTAAAATAAATAAATAGTGTTAAAAGATTAAGAATTGTTTCAACCTTTTAAAAAAAAATGTTGTCAAAATTGAGTTTACAAATCAAAACCAGTAAAATAACAACCACTCCAAACAGAACTTAAAATCTTAAAAAGTCAATAATATATTTTTCATATCAATAGTTAATTATATTGAAATCATAAAAAATATTAAATAATTTATAACAATTATTCTCATTAATAATAAATTCATTTAGATTGTATTAAAATTCATTATAGAACATTTTACCTCTTAAAAAAATCAATTATAAAACTTAAGTTTCTCTCTTAGGGAGAAGTATAATATATTATTTTCTTCTTTTTTTAACATGGGAAAAGAGAGTTTTTTTATTCTTTTAGTAGTTTATATATATATATATATATATATATATATATATATATATATATATAATTTTGTTTTATGCCAAGTGCTGTCAGCAATGGCAATGCCCTTGTGCAAATGATCATTTATGTGGGAAGTGAAAATTGCATGTCTTTGTAATGGGCCTGAGTGAAAGAGGATCTCACACATACACTACTTCCCAAAGTCTGATTTTGTGGACTAGTTTGAAAGATCCAAACCCACACACTGTAAAAGTAACTTATTTCAGAGTTCTCACCCACCCCATTACAAAAATTTTATTAATAACTGCCACAAGATTCATGAGGCTCGTAAAAATCATTTTTATAATCCATATTTTTTGTCCAGAATCAGAGTTATTCAGACAAGAGATTCCAAAGTCATTGTTAAATCATTTTTTTCTTCATTCTTTGTAATGGAGTAGTCAACCTTAAATTAAAAATTAAAAACTTGTAACACAATATGCATGATTAGTAATATTAGTTAATTGGCATGGTACAACACATTCTTTATGGATGGATGGGTGCCATCCCAACTGCTATTTGGTGTAGATAACAACCTTTGGTCTCACACTATCTCTTTTCATGCTTATTTTTATTATATTACTTTTCCTTCAAGGGACAACCAAGTGAATCCACCCTCCTATGAAATGCCTCCAAACGAAAAAGCTAAGCATTCTGTTTGGCAGTAGCAATCATAATAAGCTCAATTGTTGCAACATTTTGCTTAACAAAAATGTGGTACCCTTAAAGCACCTAAGTTTATATTACATTAATTCCACTACCCCTCTCTTCAATCTGCGCCCCATCTGATCATTCAATTCCACCCTGAAGATTCTGCTTCAGGTGGTCAATTAGAGAGGGTTCGATGAAGATGGGTTCACTAGAAAGATCAAAGAAGAAAGTTCTTCTATGGAAGAAGGCCATGCTCCATTTTTCCCTATGTTTTGTGATGGGCTTTTTCACAGGCTTAGCTCCAACAGGTAAATCTTCTCTCTTTTCAACCAAAGTTGCTGTTTCAAATAGGACACAGTTTGCTCCACAACCCAGTGAAAAGTCACACCTCACAACAAATGTCAATAAAAGTTGGCTAGCTCCAACTCCAGTGACCACGCCCATGAAGCCTGGAATCCTTGAACATGAAAAGAAAAAAACAACACCAAAGTTGAATGTGAAAGAACAGCCCCAGTTGAAGCCTAGAAGACTCATAATCATTGTGACTCCAACAAGCACCAAACTACCCCACCAAGCAGTGTTTTTGAGAAGGTTGGCAAATACCATAAAGCTGGTTCCTCAACCATTGCTGTGGATTGTTGTGGAAGCAAAATCAAATTCCACAGAACTTCCTGAGTTACTAAGAAAAACTGGCATCATGTATAGGCATGTGGTTTTCAAGGAAAACTTCACTGAATTAGAAGCAGAACTGAACCACCAGAGAAACCTTGCACTGAAGCACATTGAACATCACAGACTCAACGGCATTGTACACTTTGCTGGCCTTTCCAATGTCTATGATCTCCAATTCTTCAATCAGCTTAGAGATATTGAGTATGATTTCTCCCCTTATGTTTGCTATACTAAGTTTAGTAAACTATTATTTGCATTAAATATCTGGGGCCAATGTCTAGTGTTTATTCTGCATTTCTACTCCTATGTAGTGGGTGGTAATTTTAGTTTTTACAAAATCTTTTGGCTCACTAACCAAACAAGGGTGGTAATTACAAATTAAAAATCATCAATGCATTTATATTTCACTCCTCCAAGGTGGTTTTTCTTACAAACATCCATTTGGCTACTTGAAGGGTCTTTGGAACATGGCCAACTGCATTGTTAGCTGCACATAGGAAAAAAGTGAAAATCGAAGGACCTGTTTGCGATTCGTCACAAGTGATTGGTTGGCATCTAAGAAATATGAACAATGAAACTGATACAATCACTCCCCCAATTCATATTTCAAGTTTTGCATTCAATAGTTCCATCCTTTGGGACCCTGAGAGATGGGGTCGCACTTCCTCTGTTCAAGACACTTCTCAGGTAAACATTCTAATTTATACGTTCTGATGAGTAGTGTCCAATACTGTTTGAAAAATAATGGTTCAACTATTTCTATCTATTGTTGTCCAAAATTGAAAAATTTTAGTTTCTCCACAACTTTTTGTTATAGAGGCTTTACATAATGATTCTTTTTCAAATGTTGATAACCCTTGGAACCAAAGCTTAAATACTAAAATTTAAAATAAGGAGAATTATAGAAATTAAGTGAATAGTTGGACAAAAATATTTAGTATCTTCTTTTAATTACTTTAAGTTTTTAATTCATTTTATACTTTTAGCATATAAATATTTTTATTTATACTTATTTAATTAGTAATACTAGCAATGTGTTAACATTCCCCTAAATTATTTTCACCCATAAAAAAACCAAGCTCCTACTAGAATACTTACCCCAATGCTTATCTACATAGAAAATTATGTTGGGTAACTTGATATACAAACTTTTTTGTTTATGCTACTTAACGTTTGGCCAACTCCAACTACTCAAAGAAAAAACCCTAAGAAAAAAAGTGCAAGATATTAGGTAATATAATGACACCTTGATTGATTAGTTGAACTAATTAGAATACTATCTATGTAGTGTTTTCTACTCCGGCTTAAGATAATGCATGATGCTTCCTTATATTCCAAGATAGATTCCAGTTCAAGTTTCTACATTATTTCAATTAGAAAACGAAGTACAAGATTATGCATCATTATCACCGAGACATAATCTCTACTAGGGATTTTATTTTTTTTGTCCTTATTATCGTCAGTGACTTTTTTTGTGTGGTTCTATTAGAATTCAATCAAGTTCGTGAAGCAAGTAGTTCTAGAAGATGAGGCTAAGTTAAAGGGAATTCCACCAGAGGATTGTTCCAAAATCTTGCTTTGGCGTTTCAATTTTCGTGGCCGAACCACCTCAAATCACTAATTTCTAGAGTTTAGTCCAAGCCAAAAGAGAAGAAAGACACAAAATAACGAGTGTTGAAGAAATATAGAAATTGGCAGTACAGGAACTACTTTCCTCCTACTATATAGAATTTATTCATTTTTTTTTCTCTCATGCAAAGTTGTCCTATGTTTAATTGTTTATAGTTTTATTGATTCTTCTTTTTCTTTTTTTTAGTTTATGTAAGTGAGAAAAAAGTTTAAATATTAAAAAAAAAAAGAGTTTCCGAGCTATAGCCTTTTAAAATAATTGACCAACATATTAGTATATTTATGTCTTTTCATTTACTAATGCATTATTTAGTTTAACTAGAAATACAATTAAATTGTAATGTAAATTTTATTTCATAAACTTGTAAGATTAAATTAGATTTAAGCTCACTTTTTGAAATGGTAGTAAGGAAGTTTTTGTCAAAATTTATTGGTTTATCATGCCATCTGTTTTCAAATCACACATTAATATTTAATATCATATTTGAGATATTCAATTGTACAAAAAAATATATAAATTCATATATACTAAAAATATACCCAAATCATATTAAATTAGTTTAATAGGATGTAATTAGACTTAAAATTAAATATGCTAAAAAAATATTCGTGAAGTGTAAAAGGATGAAACGTTGATATTTTTTTTGTTCATAAAACAAATGAATCGAGGTTGGGTTTGGGCCTCTCTCTATTGGACCCTGAATATGATGAAGCTCGTGAGAACACAAAATCTTCGCTGCATTTTTGGGTCAAAGTGTGTAGTTACCTTTGTTGTCTCATAATACTTGAAGCATAATTTTCAAATAGAAAAAAAAAAAGTTCTCTTATAAAATAATCACATTTGATTTTATACATGCAACTACTTGATCTATTTATAAATAAACGCCCCTAGGATGTTCCTTCTTTTAAAAACAAACATATAATTTTTCAAGAAAAACATGCACATAAAATCATAAAGTCGAAAATAGTATTTTACAATATTTGAGAAATGCTGAGTATACAATTTTAAGCATCTTCTTTATTATGTGTTACGAAAGAAAATTGAAATACGAGCATAGCTTTTCAGTGGTCGTTCACGTGAATACTCGTAGATCATTAATGTGATTCACGTGTTTAGCCTGATCAACAAAACAAAATTCATCGCTGATACCTGAATTTATAGTGGTCATTATTTTAATTTTTACGATTTTGCGTAATAATAATATTATTATCACACTTAAGAAGAATCTTAAAATCGTATTAGGTTAAATTAATAGAGTATATATTGTTTGCAACTAAAGATGGTTGAATGCTATTAACTTGGAATTAGCATCGAGCCAAGGTACATAGAATATTTGTAATGAGAGCTTAGTCCCAAACATAATTAGGGATGAATTAATCTTTAACTTCAAAGACACTATTTTTTTTTTTACACTAATAATCCTCCAAAAAAAATTCTTAATTAATATTTTTCCAATTATTTTTATACGTAACCCGAAATCATATTTATATTTTTCTTTTCGAAATTATAATTCGCCTCCTTAACCTGAATTTATTTTTAAAATAATTTTTATTTTTTTCATATTGTTATGTTTGTTTGTTTAATGTGTTTTTTTTATCATAGTATGTTGTTTATATTCGTGTTTCAACAACGAGATCAATAAATAATTTCAACATTAATATAAAATTATAAATTTATCATAATTTAATACTGTTAAAATTTTAACATAAATATTATTTTATATTATTCTCAAATTTTATTAACTGTTTTATAAACATTGTAATATGCCAAGAAATTTACGAAGAAACATTGTCGGAGTGATGAAACGGTGATAAAAAAATTTCAAGAAGAATCTCTAATCCTTATTTCTATATCTTGTAATTCTCTAAACGTTCTTAAGACTTAAGTCCTTAATGAATTAGTGTTGATTTATAATTTAGACGCCTAATTCTTTACAGAAATTAATCATAGATAAAATAATATTAAAAACTATAAAAAAAAACGCATTATTTACTTTATAAAATTGTAATATTTAATTTTATAATCCCCTAGATAATCAATTTAGTGATGAAATACAGTTAAATTAATTTGTGGTTGTTTAAAAAAAATTATAGTTCAACAAAAGCTATTTTCTTTTTTGTAACAACCAAAATCAAATGGTCATCACCAGCTTCACATATGGAGATTAATCTTATAAATTATGAAAAAGATAAAAAAATTATTGAAAATTGTAAAATATTTAAGTTCCAATACTAATTATTAGTATTTATTTGTTTTTTAATTTCATTCTAAACCTTTGTCTTATATAAATTTTTAAGATTTTTGTGTAGGTATATTTTTATATATAAAATTTATTTCTTATGATTATACGAATCTATATTGTGTTCCACGTCAATAATATATATATATATATATATATATATATATATATATATATATATATATATATATATATAATAACAAAATTTTCAGACTTTTAAAGTAAGTTTTGTCATTCAATAAATTAAGAAGATAAGTTAAGTTTAAGTCTAGTAATTTAATTGTAAATTCATTATACAATATTATAATGCTTATTGTTTCGTGATATTGAAAAATAAGTTTCACTTATCAAATGTAACATTTCATAAGTAGTAACATAAATTAAAATTCAAACTTAAATATGAAACCAAAACAAGTATGTAAGGACATTTAACTTCAACAACATATAAAGTGTGAAGACCTGATTTATTGGTCCTTCAAAATCATTGTATTTACTCTTCGCTTCTTTAAAAAAATTTAAGATTTATTCATATTTACCTTAAAGGACATTTTTGCTAGAATGTACAAATTTCTTAGTGGAATTCTCCACCATCGTTCATTTCACATAAACAACTTATTTTTTAAATAAATAATTATTTTTTTAAAATATAAATTTAAATTATTGTTTTATCTTTAAATATAGTCTTTAAAAAAATCAAATAATTTTGTATTATGAAATGTAAGTTTAATTAAATAAAATTAATATATTTATTTATAAATCTAAATAAAAATATAAGTTCTAAATAATTTTTATTGATTAATATTTTCTTCAGCCAATAAATGTATTTTATCACTTGATTATAAAAAATAAATTAAAATTATTAGCAAATAATAAGTATTTGCAAATATATTATGACGCTTATATCTAATATATTAATAAATGAATAATTAAAATATTTAATGAGATTATATTATTTTATATCCATTACGAATATTATCACGTATATGTGTAAGTTATTGCTGCCATAGCAATTATGCTATTAGTTCTGACATTGTTTTCTTAAAAATAATAATAATAATCTACAACACTTAATAATTTTTTTTTATAAGCAAATAAAATCAATTAAGTTGAGTACAAGGGGTACTCAAAACCTAAAAACAGAGTACATTACAAAGTAAACAAAAATTATTAAAAAGAATTTAGAATACATAAAAACACACTAAACAAAGTAGATTCAAAGATTATTATGTCAGTCTACAAGACTAAAAGACATTCTCATACCAGCCGAAGAGATCCACTTCCAAGAATATAGACGAATAGATTCAAGCAACTTCAACCGATCCACAACGTCTTGTTTAAAGACCACACAGTTCCGATACAATCAAATTGACCAAATGACCCCAAGCCAAATAATAACAAAGTACTGAGATCGCTTTTTACTTCTCTCTTGACCACACCAAACAAGAAAAAAGGACACCAAAGAAGAAGACATAACAAAATTAACACCAAGCTAGCAAAATGTTAGAAAAGTAGTTTTAAATCAAGAGGGGGGGTGAATTGATTTTTGAAAGTTTTTCGCAATACACAGATTATCTAATCCGAAAATTAAGATTACTTATCAATTCACAAATCACAAAGCAATCAAACAGTTTAAGTGCAGCAGCAGAAATTAAAGAGAGAAAGGTTAGGAAAGATTTCACCGGTAATTTTATACTGGTTCACCCACAACCAGGGCTACGTCCAGTCTCCAGCCAAATTCCAGCTGGGTTCCACTAGAATAGATATTTTACAGACTCACACTCTTACACCTATTCTAACTCTCCACCAAGAACCAAATTCCAGCTCTTGGAAACCTCTGCAACCAAATTCCAGCTAGAGAGAAACCGAGTGCCCAAATTCCAGGCACCACACACAAGAACCAAATTCCAGCTCTTGCTTTAACCTTTCCACCAAGAACCAAATTCCAGTTCTTGGCAACTTTCTACAACAGTTGCAGAAAACTTGTACCCAAATTTCAGGTACAAAACGAGTACAAATGAATGAATAGAAATTTAAAAGAAGAAACAAAGAAAGCTCAAACCGGATTACACCAATCCACGATCAGTTTCTTCTTCAAAGAAATGCAAAGTGCCTCAAGAAAGATTTCAAAAGAAGTTCACAAAAACAGTTGTGTATCTTTCTTGAAAAATGCTAATATTTGTTTTTATTGATTGCTTGAATTGTGTAAAAGCTGATATGATAAAAGTTCCAAGCAATTACTGTTTATAAAAGAGTATTTTCAAATCTGCTGCATTAATTAACTGCTTGAAAGTTTGTTTTAATCGTTGAAATAGCAGTTACAATCTGTTAAAAGTCCTTTCAACCCATTAATGCGTTCTTGATCTTTAACGAGAAAATGTTTTAGTTGATACGACCACGTTTTTATCAGTTAAAACGTTTTACAAACTTTTTCTAAGTATAAAACAATCGATTGAATCACGTATTAATCGATTGATTTGTTTAAAAACCTTCTTATAAAACTTTCCAAGTTATTTTAGCTGATATAAAGTCGTTTTAATCGATTGAAAATCTGCACATATATTTTCAAGTCATTTTAATCGATTGAAAGTTCGTTTTAATCGATTGAAAAGATTTTCTAAGTTATTTTAATCGATTGAAATACGTTTTAATCGATTGAAATAAGTCTCATCGGTCATAATTCAATTCTGATCGATCATAACCAACTCTGATCGGTCATAATTTCATTCTGATCGATCATCCTGACTTCCAAAGT